AATTTGTCTCCTGTGTTTACTTTAATTTTAAACTCTCCTAAAGAACAATCATTTATTTTTCTCTAGGCTTCTGTATTTGATAATTAGGAAGAATAGATTGAAGTCGATATGCCAGAAATCTATCTACACTCCCATGCTGATTGCAGCAGCATTTACAATAGCTAAGATAAGGAAGCTACCTAGGTTCTATCATCTGATAAATGGATAAAGAAAATGTGGTATATATACACAATGGAATATTATTCGGCCTTGAAAAGGAGGGGAATCCTGTCATTTGCAACAACATGGATAAACCTAGAAGTCGTCATGCTAAGTAAAATGAGCCAGGCACAGAAAGACAAATACTACATGATCTCACTTATAAGTGGAATATAAAATTCTGAATTCACAGAAGTATAGTAGAATCAGGTTACCAGAGACCTGGGAATGAAAGTGATTGGCAAAAGGGGAGGTGTTGATCAAACGGTACAAAATTTTAGACAGGGGGAATAAGCTTTAGTGATCTATTGCACAGAATGGTGATGATAATGAATAATACCACACTGTATATTTCAAAAATTATGAATAGATTTTAAATAATTTCACTACCAAAAAACAATAAGTATGGGTGGTGATAAAATTTGTTAATTAGCCTAATTTAATTATTCACACTGTAAACATATATCAAAACAGCAAATTGTACCTCACAAATACATATAATCGTTGTCAATTAAATATAAAATTTTTTTTTAAATCTTGTAATTCTGAAGGACAGAATTCCAACACAATTTCATTGGGCTTTAGGAGGCTTTAGGGGAAAATTCATTGCCTCATGGTCCCTTCCTCCATAAAACCAGCAGTGGTGGTCAAATTCTTCTTGCACTGCACTGTTCTGACCTCTGCTTTGATCATTACATTTCTTTTCTGGATTCTCTCTTTGTCTCCCTCTTTCACTTTTGTTGTTGTTGTTGCTTCTAAAAGTACTGATTTAATTTATTTCTATTGATTTACATCCAGTGTTTATTATTTATAAAAATGCCACTTTTATTGCAAAAATTTGAGAGTAGAGAAATATAAAGAATAAATTAATTATTTAGCTAAATCTCAGTTCATTTTAGTACTCATTGTGTTTTTAGTCATACTTCATATACTGAATTATAACTCCATTTTAAAAATTGAACAATATGGTTTAAATTAGTAAACTTAAGTCTACATTATAACTGTAGTGTTTCATTGTCCACATGTATAATAATTTAATCAGGCTCTTATGAATAGACATGGAATTTTATACCTTGTAGATTTGACTTGCCAGTATTTTGTTGAGGATTTTTAAAATTTATTTTCATGAGAGAAAATAGTCTGTAGTTTTCTTTTCTTATAGTGTCTTTGTCTGACTTTGCTAATAATGTAATCCTGGTTATGCAGAATGAGTTAGGAAGTGTTTCTTTGCCTTCTATCTTCTGAAAAAAATTGTAGACAATTGGCATAATTTATTTCTTAGATTTTGGAGAATTCAGCAGTGAGACTGTACGAGCCCGATGCTTTCTGCTTTGGAAGGCTACTAATTATTGATTCAATTTTTAAAAAAAAATACATACCTGTTCAAATTGTAGATTTCTTCTTTTTTATTTTCTATTTTATTTTTTGTAATAAAAGTATCTTTTTATTTTTTATTTTTTAATTTTAAAGATGTGGTATAATTCAGGGTTAACAGGGTTAGGTACCTAAGTTGTCATCTTATAGGTGAAGTTTGGGCTTTCTATTGGTCCTCACTTTGCCTAGATTTCTTCTTATGTGAGTTTTGCCAGATGGTGTTTTTCAAGGAATTGATTCATTTCATCTAGCTTAGTAAATTGGTAGATGCAAAGTTGTTCACAGTATATATATTTTTAATTTTTATTTTAAAGGTGTGGAGTACAATTCAGGATTAAGTTACAAGTGGTTATCGTACAGGTAAAGCTTGGGCTTCCCTTTGGTCCCCACTTCACCTGGTTTGAGATCAGGGACCTCTACCGATTTATGTTATGTCATTTCCCCTGGCCATTTCTGACTACTGCCAGTCCCTTTCTTATAGTATTATGGTAAATGCTCAGAGTTTGATTATGAGTGAGAACAAGTGGTACTCAGTTCTTTGTTTCTGTGATAAGTCACTGAGTATTATAGACTCTAAATTCCAAGTTGCTTCCAAGTTGCTGCGAAGTCCATAAGTTTGTCCTTCATTGTGTCTGTGTAATATTCCATCATGTATATGTACCACATTTTTTAAATCCAGTCCAATTTTTCATAGTATTTTTAAATTAACCTTTTAATGTCTGTAGGATTTGTAGTGATGTTCCTTCTTTTATTTATAGGATTAGTAGTAATTAGTATCCTATCTCTTTGCGGGGGGGGGGTCTTGGCTAGAAGTGTATTCATTTTATAAATTTGTTTTTATTTTATTTTATTTCATTTATTGGAGGTACAGCTTACTATGTTCCTAATGTTGGACTTGAACTACTAGGCTCAAGCAATTCTCCCACCTCAGTCTTCTGAGTAGCTGGGACTATAGGCATACACTTCCATGCTCAGATTTTATCTATCTTTTGAAAGAATCATCTTTTGATTTCATTGATTTTCTCTATTAATTTCCTATTTTCAATTTCACTGATTGCTGCTATATTAATTTGTATTAGTTAAAAGTTAATCTGCCGTATTTTTTTATTATTTCATTTCTTCTATTTATTTTGGAATGAATTTGCTCTTCTTTTTTTTTTAATTTCCAATGGTGGAAACTTAAGTGATTGATTTTTTATCTTTCTTCTTCTCCAATATACACATTCAATGTTATAAATGTCCCTCTAAGCACTGATTTCACAGCAACTCACAACATATAGATAAGTTGTGCTTTTATTTTTACTTAGTTCAAAGTATTTTTTATTTATCTTGGGATTTCCTTTTTGACCCACCCCTCTTCCACTTTTAATTATATTGAGCTCAACTGGTAATCCAGGATTATTTCCCTATCTTAACATCAGTTGATTAGCAATCTTTTTTCCCTTTCCAATTTAAATTCCCCTTTGCCTTGTAATCTCCCGGAGATTAGGGCTTTGACATATTTGGTGGGTGGGGAGGAACTATATTCCAGCTATCACAATGGCTCATTTAAGAGTTTGTAAGACAATTTGATCAAGAAAATTTGCACTAATATGGAAAAGAGGCTTTTGTTTTTTAAAAAAAATTGCTAACCTGCTAAATTATAAATCATAGAATTGAGGGAAATAGTGAGGATGTATGATGCAGATGGTTCTTGCCAAGAGATATTTCAATAACCCACATTCTTAATGGCTACTGCTTGCTCAACAGCTGACATATATCTCAGGCCTACTTTGAATGAATGAAGAGATCTAAGAGATCTTACCAAAATTCACCTCTTCTGAAAGCCATTACCTCAAGACATATAACTATAGGATAATTTAATCCATTAAAAACAGTCTCTACATCTCTGTCACTTTGTAGCTAAGTGACCTTTAGGAAGTTATTCCATCCAAGACTCAGTAAAATGATCTGTTGTAGAGATTTATGTAAAACAATCAGCAAAATTTGTGACAATTAGTGAGCATGCAATATATTTGAGTTAGTATTAACAGTAGTAGCAGTAATGTAGTTATTAAAATATTTGTGGTTTGTAAAGTACAAGGGGGGGTTACCCAAAAAACTGAAATTAACTGATAAAAACTTGTGTATTTATTCTTACATGTTTAAACTTTAGTCACCTTCAAAGTATTCTCCATTTAATGCAATATACCTATCGCAACACTTTTTCCACTGCTCAAAACAGTTTTTGAACTTGCCGATTTTGATGCCTTTTAGTGCTTCTGTTGCTTTTTGTTTCACCTCTTCCACATTGGCAAAATGTTTATTTTTGGGGAAACAAACAAACAAAAAAAGTCACTCAGGGTGAGACTGAGTGACTAGAGAGGGTGGGGCATGAGGGTTGTGCAGGTTTTGGTCAAAAACTGGTGAAAACTCAGAACAGTGTGGGCCACAACTTGGGATGTTTCTTCCACAAATTATGATGCAACCTTCTCGAAACTTTAGATAAAAAGTTAAAAACTTCTGTTGACTGTTTGATCTGGAGTAACAAATTCCAAGTGTACTACAATGGGCCCACCCTCCAAAAGATAATTTGGAGGTTTCTTGGTGGGGGCTGCCCCCTTGTATAATAGCTTGTTGCTGACTTCTGCAGAAGCACAGTGATCTCACGCATGGTTTTCAATCCACTCTGTAGGTCCCAGGCCTAGGGTTGGGAAGGACTGGCATCTCACTAGAAGGCATGGCAGCCAGAGAGTATTGATGCAGAGTGGGCAGAGCAATTTTGTTAAAATCTGTTTTGTTTATGGTGCTCATTATTCACTGAAATAAAAATATCTGTAACTTTGGGAACAAAGATTGAAAACCATTGTTCTCTCTGAAAGAAATAATTCCCTAATAGTAGAAGAGTAGCAGATATGGGAAGAAGTGTCTGGGCAGCTGCTCCTTCAGATCTGACCATCTGGCTGCTGTATCCTCTCATCCCCAGGGCCTCAGGCTGACCTCATGGGAGAACAGACAGGTTTAACATCCCCTTCAGAGAAGGAATATTGGTGCTTCCAGTCTATCAGAGGGAGACTTTGTTGGTTAGTACCCCAACAAAAGCACTACCGAATGCCCTAAAAGTAATAATATAAATGCTGTTTATTCTTTGTCTTCATGAGGAAAAATAAAATCAACTGGAAATGGGAGGAAGAAATGTTTCCCAACTAGTGTTTTTTATTTCATTTTAGGGAATAACTGTGGCTTTTCCATCCTCATTTGATAATTACTTCCTTTGAAAACATCAAGTAATTTTTTTTCCATGTGTGGAATATGGTGCATAAAAGATAGCATCCAAAATAATCCATGCAGTTCCCACATTGCACATGCTCTTTTGATATTTTTAGCATATTGTAGTTGACAAATGAATACTTTTCACTGATTTCTCTTCACTCTTTTTCCCCTTTCAGGTCCTTGAGGAAAAGCTACTTGATCAAACATCTGATAGTCACAAATTTGAAACCGTGCTTCAGAATCCCAGCACATAGTAAAAGAAAATACAGCACTGATAATATACCTGTCAAGAAGCTGTGAACACATGGTGTATAAATTCTTTACCAAGGCAACTGGACACCTTCTTTCTCTGGTCTTGAACCCCCACTGCTCACGTGCTCACTACACACATCGACCTCCCATTCACCGCAGTGGGAATTCTCAGTGTGCAGAGGGAGAGGTTTCCTAGTCTGCAGACTGAAACAGTATGAGAAGAATAAAGTCTGTGACTTTTAAATAAATCATCAGGGCCAGGATTAAGTGAATCTTCGGTCCATAACTCTTCCAGAGATTAGCTAACCCCTCATTAGGCTATAATTCAAACTGCATCAGTTCAAGGTTGTTGCCACTTGAAAGAAACCAACACATTGCCCCAACCCTGACCTTTTCCACAGTCCATGTTGCTGAGTTGTCTGATTTGGAATTCCAGTTAATTGCAAATTCAACCTTTATTCTCCTCTTGAAATTGACAAGTTATTATACTATATTTATGCTCTCTTTAGGTTCTAGAAGCAATTGGCTTTTTATTTTGTTTTCATGAATTTTATTATGCATTAATAGATTGGGATAATTTTAGCTCAACTTTTAGTTTGTTAGAAGCAAGGATAGAAACTCCAGTACTGTATTATTTTTATTTAAGTGCTGCTTGTATCTGTTATTATGAATCCTAACAGAATATAACATATATTTATTCCACAAAATATATATTATCAGAGTGCATTTGTTACAATTTAGGTTCCTTTCTTACCAGGTGTTATGAATCTGGTAAAGGAATACTAGCAAAGAACCTAGCTTCATGAACTGATCCTCCTATGATATACATATATATAAAACACCACTCTCCATATTTTTTGTTAAGTTTTCTATTTTGTGATTGGTAAACTCTGGAGAAATCTAAATTCTACTAACACTGATGTGCTGTCATAGAAGTCTGTTTGATATTTTAAAGCTTAGAGCTTTACAAAGCTAAATTATAATATATATATGCATATTATTCAAGTACTTATATCACATACAGTTTAGATTAACTTCCCCAAATATAAACTAGATATTTATGGCACTCTAAGTTTTAAATATATATATATATATTATTATTCTTAAAATTGGGCATATGGAAACCAGTGATATCAATATTATGAATGACAGATGCTGACTTCCTCTAGAGGGAAAGACACCTATTTTATTACACATATTTCTGTAAATAAATAGACAATGAGATATCTATTATTCACCAAGAAATAATCTATTAGAACCACCTATACAGATGATAATTTTAGACTTATGATAAATTTAGGCATCTGAGTCTGATTTTACTTTAGGGAATGAATAAGAAGCAATAATAATTTGGGCACTTGAACACCTTAAGCACAAAAATATACCCGAAAAAAATAACTGCCCAGTTAAAACATTCTAAATTGATCATGAAAACTGAGGCAAGTATTTGAATATTTTCTTTTCTCTAATACAATTATTGATTTCCCAAGATACAATAAATTTGACATTTCAAATAGCCCCCCAAAATAGAAATTTGTAAAGCTCAGTTTTGTGACTGTTTTCTCAAAAATAAAATAAGGCCATTCAGAGATACCCGATACATTTTATTTTGCCCAGATGGGTAGTATGATCATTAATGCCAAGTTTTCCTTCCTCTTCATAATGCATCACTCACCAGAGGACAAACAGCACTAATTTAAACAATGCCCCACTGTGGTAACAGATTTCCATTCTTGAATACATATCATTTTCTACTAGAGAGAACCAGGGAGGGGACTTGGGGGCAGTGAGAACCCTGAATGTTATGTAAAATAGATTTACAAAAGAGACAAGCATGATGAAAGTGTATGAATGGAGACTGTGAGTATGGTTCAGTTTGAAAGAGATAGTTCACATTTTTATAAGATAAAATTAATGAATCATATATATTTTAGTTATCATTTAACAAAGAAATATTAAAGTTATTTGGGCAATGCCACAAGATTCTCACAAAGGGACATTATTGGACCCTTGTAATGAGAAAATGGTCATTTCAACACATTTCAATACATTGTATAAATTTGGAGCTTAAAATGAATGTTTTGACTTAGCCACAAGTGTTTGATTAAAAGTTATGGTTTCACATCAGTGCAAATATTGTCATGGTGTTACAGAAGCAACTATCAAATGGGTGTTTACGTTTGTGTTTTCTAGAAGTCTTTGCATTTTATGCTTCACTTACTTAATGTTAAGTGCTAACAAATGTATGCCAGGTTATTTGTCAAAGAAAGAAGCAGTCAATCACACCTACGGCATCTAAGGACAGATTACATGTCACAGTGGTCCTACATGCCAATGGCCAGTTTCTTCACTAAAATCTAGTTGATTGAAATTTAAGCCTTGCCCTAAGGTTTTAATCAAAATAGGGACCCCTAAGGCTTAGAGAGAGGCCACTTGTAGTTCTTCTAAGTTTCACTGAAGCTAGAGAAAAGGGAAAATTTTATCACAACTATACTCTTTTTTTAATTAATGATGGCGTTAGACCCACTGACATGTCCCAAATCATATTATAATTAAAACGTATCAGATTGCTCTTGCATGAAGCCCAATCTTCAGCTCAATAAACAAATTATCTATTAAAAGTCAGAAGAAAAAGGCTATTGTGACTTCACTAGGGATCCTGATGATTTTTAGTTTAGTCCCTTGGTTGGGTCGGTGGCTGGTGGGACAGATTTTTCTAAACTTTTTCCCGCTGTGATTTTGAAGGCAAAACTATGGAGCATAGTTCAGTATAATAATTTCCAAACCTTTTTACTGGAGAATTTACATTTTGATTCTGTTGCCGTTTGAAATAGAACATCTGCAGGGAGATAATGAGCTTAAATTACAATTGACTTTGGGAAGAATAACAGACATTCGAGCTCCTCATCATGTAATCAATAGGGAATTCTCTAGCTTTGTGAACAACCACAATCTTTTAAGACAATGTTGAGATCTAAATGTAAAATCTAGCATGCAGAAGCTTTTCAAGGATTTGATGCTGTCTCTGAAGACTTGGCTACAGATGGATTACACCAGTTTACAAATACACTTTTCAACTGTGACATCAAAATGATCTTAACTTATTTCATTTTACTCAGTTGTGCCTGTAGGACTCCAAGACATAGAATATTTTGTCTGCATTATTATAAACATCTCTAGATATGTACAGATGTATGAATAATGCCTGAATTTCTTGTCTTTTAGCTAGTTTGAGTTTTATCATACAGAAATAGCCTATTAGTAAGACCAGCTTTACAGGACATCATAATGTAGAAATCAATGCTCTAAAGATTCAGGAAGGCCAGCATAGAACAAGATTTTCCAAAATGAGGGGTGATCCCACTCATCTCATTCCTCTCTATATTTCAAACTCCAAGAGAGAAAGGGCTGTGACTGCCTTGATGATGGCCTGGCGTAGTGTGAGCACTCCATTAATATTTGTTGAATGAATATATGATTGAATCAGTGAATAGACAAATAAGTTAATTTTATCTCCTGAAGTTTTCACAAATTTTGCCAGCTTCTATTATTCTGATTGACACTATAACTTCTAAATTTCACAGTTATAGCCAGAATTGACTCTTCATAAAAACTTTCCTGATGTATGAATTTGTAATCTAATGACTGTAAAGACTTCAAAAATTCAAAAACATTTGAACAATGAGTAAGAACAATGTTTAGGGATTCAGGGTTTCTACAATGACTTAAACCCAACCTTTCTAGTTCTTTATGAAAACTTCTTGAATTATTTGGCAGAGATGATTCAAACTTAGAACCACATTTTAAAATTTTATAAGATTATATTTTGGTTTTTTGAAGGAAAAGTCACATTATTAGGCATACTACTAATATCCCACTTGATATTTACTAATAACTTTTCTTCAAGGAACTTATAGTAATAGAAGACTTGGTCATTAAATATTTTCTTATCTTTGAAAGATCACTTCTTTCATATTTGATTCCTAGAATGTACTGAGCTAACCTGTAATACTTATTCAGACTTTTCCATGTGTTTGTTCGTTTAACAAATATTTATGGTGTACCTAGTGCATGCTAGGTTCTGGAAATGCAACGGCAAATGAGATAGACATATTCCCTTCAAGGAGCATTCTCATGGAATTTTTAGCCCTTCATGGAACTCCTCAACATTTACTCTAGCACTAAACTAGAGTTTACTATTCATGGAGTCTCCCTCATACCTGATAGAAATAAAGTCCCTCATCCCATGGAAATCATAAAATATTTCCTGCAGATTTATGTGAGCTTACTTTTCTAAACACACCACTCAGAAGTGCTGCTTAGTTTATCTGTAAACCACAGTTGTGCCCCAGTGAGGTAGGAAAGTAAGAATGTATTCATAACTAACATGTATTCAGCTCTTACTCTTTTCTAACTCCTGAGCTAGTGCTTTTATGGACTATATCATTAAATCCCTTCAAGAATTCTATTCAGTAGGTTCCATTTTATAGACAAGAAAATTGAAGCACAGCTATGTGACTTAAGGTCACACAGCTAGCATGTGGAAATGAGATTTTAACCCACACATTCTGACACAAGAGCTCATGTGTCTAATCATTAAATGGTCTGCGGGATACCAATACATTAAGATGAATGAGTCATTACAATAACTGAGTCACTGTATATAAAAGTACTTTCAAAGTGTAAAATAGTATATAAAAAAGATATTAGTAAAGTATTATTATGGTCAACAAATCACATCAGTGACAAAAGCAGGGTGAGAACTCAATCTTATGTTACAGCTTACTCACATGAAGAATGCTTTAAGCCAGAAACATGGATAAAAGTACAGATAGAAACTGTCTGCCGTGTGATAAATATTTCAGTGACTTTTCAGAATTATTTCTTGTTAGCCACTGTGTCTATTTGGTGCTACAAAAACTAAAAGAAACAAAATCCCTGCTATAAGGGCTTATAACAAATACACAGTGTAGAGTTGAACAAAGGATATTTTACATTTATGGGTAAGGATTGGGCAATAGTACCATTTTTCTCACCATTTGCATGTGCATCATGTCTTTCCAATTGTCTTCATTATTTTTTCTGAAAAAGCTGCAAAATTGTGCAGTGGTTCAACCTGACCAAAGTGGTATTATGCTGCTGGGAAGTAAAAGTATTAGACACCAGACTGGGAGTATTGTCTTCATTATCAAATGACTCTAAGTTCTTTTGAAGTGTGAATATAAAGAAATTTTTAGATGCTGGAGGCACCTGTATATTTAGATGCTAAGTTTCTTGTGTTTCTCCATTCCTAATCACACAGTGGGGTTATTCTGTTGAGGGGTAAGGCTCTATAAAGGAAAAAACACACGCTTTTCTCCTTTCTATTCTCATATGCAACACAGAACACTTCTGTGACAAAATGTGAGGAGTTTCTCTGAGCAGTTCTCCAAGTAGACACCAAACTGGGTATCCTATATTCAATTCAATTCTGAAGCTATCCACCTGGAGATAGTGTTAGATCCCACAGGTTGAGGGCTTAGTCCCACAACATTGCCCTCCCTTCAGATGCCAATTGCAAGTATTAGGTTGTCATCTATGCTACTGACCTACCAGCTACAAACTGAGGTTCCCACTTCCCCCTCCCTGGACTCAGTTGATTTGCTGGGACAGCCCCCACAACTCAGGAAAACATCTATTTAGTATACCAGTTTATTATAAAGGAGATTTTAAAGGATACAGATGAACAGTCAGATGAAGAGATGGATAGGGCAAAATATGGAGAGTTTTCACGTCCCCTCTGGGTGTGCCACCCTCTCAGCACTTCTACAGTTCAACAGTCCAAAAGCTCATCAAATCTCTGTTCAAGAGTTTTTAATAGAGCTTGATCTCCAAGCCCTCCCTCCTCAAACATACACACTTTCCTGGAGGTTGGGGGCCAGGGCTAAAAGTCACAATGGTCTAATCCTCTATCTACCTGGCCTATCTGTAAGGGCTATCTAGGGGCATCAACCTACTCACTTCATTTGCATAAACTCAGGTGTTATCAAAGAGTCTCATTATAAATTTAAAACACACACAGAGAGAGCTATCACTGAGGAAATTCTAAGGGTTTTAGGAGCTCTGTGACAGGAATCACAAGACCAAATATGTTTCATACTGTACCACACATTCTAAAGCCATGAAAGGAAAAAAATGATATTGGTCTAATATTATAACCATAATGTTCACAGTCACAGAGGCTAGCAAAAACTGACACCTTCTGGGGAAATAATAAACTCATGGTTCCCATCTCATTCCCTCACAAAGAGGAATTATATGCATTATTTAAATTTGTTCTGTCTGCCCCTCTCCTAGTTAAATGGTTATGCGATACAAACACATCGTTCTGGTTCATAGTGGTAGAAACGAGAGTCTTCTTAAGATCACTTTTCATTACCTCATCATACTTTCCTGCTATTGACTAATTAACCTTTTCCCATTTATTAATATTCTGTAAAGTTTAGCCTTACACATAATACACTAGAGAAGAAATTCAAATCCCTATGTCCAAAATCATACTGTTGACTTCTCTTGACCTTCTTTTTAACATCTTTATTGCTATTATTACTATT